CACCCCAATCCCGCACACGCCGTCCCCACGCCCCCCTCCCCGCACCGGGCGCATCCCGCCCGCGGCCCCTCCCGCGGGGACGGGGGCGGCTCCCGGGGGCGCGCACGTCCGGCCCCGCCCGTTAAATTCCGGCGGGCCGGGCCGGGCCGGGACCACCGGCGCCGCACCTGCTGCTCTCGCCATGGCCACCGACACCGAGCCCGGCCGCCGCCGCCGCTGCTGCGCGCAGGACACGCCCGGTGAGCGAGCTGGGGGAGCGGGGCGGGTACCGGAGGGGGACCCCCAGCCCTGGACTGGGTCTCGCCCTTCCCGAGCCGCGCACCGGGCACCGAGCGCGGAATCCCCGCCGTGGACCGGGCACCGGCGGGGTCTCCTCTCCTGAGCATCCCCTGGGTACCGCCCTGGGAGCTCCGCGCTCCCCCTGCGGGGTTTGGGGACCGAGGTGACGGCCCAGCACGGCAGCGCTTGGCTGTCCTGCCCAACTGAGTCCGGGCACGGGGTGGGGACGCGGCCCCGAGTGACTCCAGCGGCTCCCGCAGATGCTCCCAAGGTCCCGGATTCGCGCGGTGGCGGCGACGCGCCCCGGCGGGGCTCCCTCTGCGACCGGCACTGCGCTGCCATCAACAACGTGCAGGGCGACCTGGGAGACCTGGGCTGCCACCTGCACCGGCCCCGTGTCCCCCTAGGTAGGTTGGCTGCGGGTTGGGCTGGATTTGGGGTCCTGGGGGGGTCCCACACCCGCTGTGACCCGCTGTGTCACCCACAGCCACGTCCACCCCGTCCTGCTGCCAGCAGCACTCGGAGGAGGTGTGCGAGAGCTGCGTGGTGAAAACCACCCTGACGGCCGAGAACGCCGTGGAGGCCAACAAGCTCTCCAACAACTACAAGGTGGGTGGGGGCACCCATGGGTGCTCTGGCAGGGTTGTAATGGGTTTTCATTTACTTCCTCTTCACTCATCCCAAAAAAAAACCCCTCTCTCTCTGCAGTTTGGTTTCAAGAAATGGAAGAGCCACGTGACGGAGCGGCCCTGGGAGGACCGATCGGAGATTGTCAAGGAGCTCTACTCCGACCTCAACGTCATCCGAGGCTCTGGAGGTTGGGTGGCCTTGGGGACACCCCAGTGTGGATTTGGGCAGCTGCAGGTGACAATGGTCCCACCTGGTGCCTTCCCTCCTGCAGGGTCCACACTGACATGTGGGAATGTCCTTTACCTGCTGCTCTTTGGCTGGTGGCTCTCGCTCCTCTACGTCCTCGTGGCTGCCATGATGTTCATCACCATCGTGGGGGCTCCCTATGGTGAGTTCCAAACTTGGGACCCCGTGTGAGGGCTGGATGAGCTCAGAATTGCACCAGTGGGTGTTGGGGTCTGCTGGGTCCCTTCTCCACGGAATGTCCCTGTAGGTGGAAGGGACAGTGATGGCTGTGTCCCCACAGGGAGACTCTGCTGGGACCTGGCCGGGTATTTCCTCTGGCCCTTTGGCAAAGTGATCCAGAAAGTGGAGGTAAGGGTGCCTTGGGGATCCCCTGGGGGTGTCTTGGGGTGCCCTATGCACACCCTGACATCCCCTCTCTCCCCAGGTCCCCAAATCCCATCAGGGGTGTGAGGTCGGCGCGGGGGAGAGCTCAGCCCTGCTCGGGGGTCCCACAGCGCTCCGCTGGCGCCCACGGTGCTGGGAGGGCACCGGATACTGGGTGAGCCCCATGCTGGACCCAGCGCCAGCACCCCTGGAGCCCCAGCGCGCCGGGGAAGGAGCCCACGGGCACCTCCCTCCCCTGGGGCGGTGTGCTGGGGGTCAGTCCCTGAAGGTGCCCTCCCGTTAACAGCACCACGCCAGCACTGCCGTGTGGCTGTGCCTGGGCTGCCCGGTGCTGCTGCTGGCCCACGGGCTCGTGTGTGTCACCGCATGGCTCCTCATCATCCTCATCCCCGTGGCCAAGCTGAGCGCCCGCGCCGCCTCCCGCGTCCTGCCGCTGCCCCCGCAGCGGGTGCTCATCCGGCGCCTGAGGACGGTGAGTGACTCTGGGCAGGGTCGGGGTCCCACGCCCCGCTCCAGGGGGGATTTTGGGCTGGGGGTGACCCTCTTGGCCCTCTGCAGACTGAGGTGCCTCTGGAGGGAGAGGTGATTCTCTGCTGCTACCGCGCCGCCAATCCCTACTACTACAAGTACGCCGTGGACGGCATCAACGTCTTTGCTGTCAGTATCCTCGTGGGAGCTGGGGTGGGACGGTGGGGAGTGACCCCAAATCTGCCCCCTCTGTTGTGTCCTTGACTGGCCACCCCAGACCTGCTGCCACTGGTGCTGGTGACACTGGTGCTGGGCTACGTGGACAGCCCCAACCACCTGACCGGCTCCGCCATCAAGTTCACCTTGGCCCTGCTCTCCATCATGCCCCTCTCCTACTACATCGGCATGGCCATCGCCAGGTGAGCGCGACAGGGGACGCTTGGTGGCAATGTGGGGACACTCCAGCCCTGCTGACAGCCTCTTCCTCCTCTCCAGCATCTCAGCCCAGAGCAATTTTGCGGTGGGAGCTGTGGTGAACGCCACGTTCGGCTCCATCACCGAGCTCACCTTCTACATCACCGCCCTCATCAAGGGCTCGCGGGAGGGCAACCGCTGCTACGCCGAGGTGGTCAAGTCGGCGTTGACGGGGACACTGGTGGGCTGTGTCCTCTTTGTGCCGGTGAGACAGGTGGCACTGAGAGCCGGGAGGGGGCTGTGAGCAGAGCACTGATGGGGGGTTTCTCTGGGGGGTTTCTCCATCCCCAAGGGTCTGTGCATGGTGATCGGGGGCATCCGGCACCAGGAGCAGCGCTTCAACAGCCGCTCTGCGGGCGTCAGCTCGGCCCTGCTCTTCCTCTCCGTGGGAGGTGAGGTGGGGACAGGGGTGTCCCCAGGTCTGGGTGTCCCACCGGGGTGGCTGCCTGCTCCACGTCCTGTCCCTGCAGGTGTCTTTGCCCCAACGCTCTTCTCCAAGGTGTACGGGAAGCTGGTCTGCGGCGAGTGCCACAACGTCACCCAGAACCCACTGGGCCACTACCTCTGCCACAACTGTCACTTTGACCTGGTGAGTGGGGACCTGGACCCCCAGCAGGGGGAATTTGGGGTCAGGGACGCTCTGAGCCCCCCTGGCTCTCATGCTGGGTGGTGGCAGTAGGGCTGTCCCTTGTCCCCTGTATCCCCGTTGACAGGCGCTCTCTCTGCAGATGGACAACAACGGCACCCTCTACTACAGCCACGTCCAGTGAGTGTCCACTGCGGTGGGGACAGAGCTGTCCCCACTCTGGGGTGGCAACTCCTGGGTCTGGTCGTGTTCCTGCATCCCTCCCAGGGCCCTTCTCCACCCCAATGATCCAGTGCCCCATTTCCTTGTCCCCCTGGGGTCTCCATGCCAGAGCCTGGCGGCACTGACAGTGTCACCTGTGTCCCACAGACCCCTGGTGTACACGGTGTCCATCCTGCTCCCTGCTGCCTACCTCATCGGGCTCTTCTTCACCCTCAAAACCCACTCGCACATCTACGACATCCACATCAGCGACTGTCACAGTGAGTGTCCCCGAAGGTCCTGGCTGCAGGGCTGGCTCTTGTCACCGCTCTGGAGCGTCCCACACATCTCTGCTCTGTCCCCAGTGCCTGGCCACCACCACAGCGCCGTGGTCCACTGGTCCCGCTGGCGGGCCCTGGTCATCCTCCTGCTCGCCACCCTCTGCATGTCGGCCTGCGCTGACCTGGCCACGGAGCACATCAGCCCCATCCTCACCAACTCCACCATCTCACAGGTGAGCTGGGTCTGGCTGTCCCCGAGGACCGGGATGTGCCCTCCAGGGATGGGGACCTGCCCTGGCTGCAGCTGGAGGCCAAAAAGGAGTGGGGGAAAGCTGCTGAGATGCTCTGTGTAGTTGGCCAGGGCTTGGGTGTGGTCAGGCCTGGGCTGATGTCACCTCTTCCCTGCAGTACTTCATCGGTGTCACCGTGCTGGCAATGGTGCCCGAGCTGCCAGAGATTGTCAATGGCATCCAGTTCGCCCTGCAGAACAATCTGAGCTTGAGGTGAGATGGCTCCAAGGATGAGTTTTGGGCTGGTTCCTGTGCCCTGTCCCAGTCCCATCACTGTGCCTTGCTGCCCAGCCACTGGTGGGTCAGAGTCTGTGTCATCTCGTCCTCAAAGAGATTAGCCACCCAAAAAATGGTGTCAGAACTGGGATGGGCTCTGTGGTTTGGGATTTTCTCACCCAGAGACCCAGTGCTTGGCCCTTAAGTTGTCTTTCCTCCCCAGCATCGAGATTGGGAACTGCATCGCGGTGCAGGTCTGCATGCTCCAGATCCCCATCCTGGTGCTCTTCACCATCTTCTACGTGAGTAGCCCCAGGACAGCTCTGGGGGACCTCCTGCAGCAGGCTTGGGGACACGGTGTCCGTGGGACATGGAAAGGACACAGCTGCCCTTGCCAGCGTCTCCCCTCGGCTCAGTGCAGGGGAAGTGGGGTCAGATGTCTCCTGCTGCTGTCCCCACCCTGGGGACGTGTGGCAGAGGGGGTTTAAGGGGTGACACACAAGTCCCAGGGAGTCAGTGTGGGGTTGCCCTGGCTGGCCATAAACCCCAAATCCTCTTCCTCGCAGCCGACCAACTTCACGCTTGTCTTCAGCGACCTCCACGTCTACGCCAGCATGTTCAGCGTGGTGCTCATGAACTACATCTTCATGGATGGCAAATGTGACTATTTCCAAGGTGACCACCTCCCACAGGGCTGCTGGGGGACTTGGCACATCCCTACATCCCCTGGGATGGGGGGTCCTGACTCCAATCCTGGGATCAGCTGCTTTTTGGGGCTCTTGGTGTGTGGTGACCTAAGTGATCCTGGGATCTTGGTTGACCATCTTGGAGTTGTCCTCCTGCAGCAGCTCCAAGGGGCAGATTACTCCCATTTCCCTCTTTAAAAGGCTTTACATTCCCTTTTAATGGACATTTTGTAGAGAACCATGGAAGTCCTCTACAGGGGGCTAATCCAGACCACACCAGATGTTAAACCCATTCCTCTCCTTGCTCCAGGAGTAACTCCATCCCACCCCTCTCTGTCTGCCCCAGGCACCGTGCTGGTGATGGTTTACTTCATCCTCCTGGCCGTGTATTTCTTCGCCCCGTCACCCAGCGGCTGCTGAGGTTTGGATTCTCCGTTCTCCAGCCCCCTCGTTGGGATCAGCACCCATCGAGACCTTTTCCAGTTTCTCAGGGACTCGGCCGGGCTGGCTCCGGTCTGGAAGAGCCGTTTCCTGAAGCTCCTGCTGCTGCTGGGCTCCCCCCGTGGGGCTTCAGCGATGGGAAGGGTGGTGGCCATGGCATCGCTCCTGAAACGAGGAACCTCAAAGCCAGAGCACCTCACACGGGCACCTCCAGCCCACGCTCGAGTGGCTGAAGGAGAACTGTCCTTAGAGAAGGGTCTTGAAGGGGATTTCTGTGTGTCTCAAGGACAGACCCCTCCCTGGGGATGTGCTGCACTGGGAGGAGGTGCCTGAGAAGTCCCTCATCCTTCCAGGCCTGGGAGGGGCCTGGGAATCGCACACGGGATGTTTGATGGCACCAGAAATGCACCCAAAGGTATTTTCAGCTGTTTCGTCATTAAAGCAGTTTTGTACAAATCAGAAACAAGTTTGTTTCTCCTTAAATGAGCCTCAGGAAGCAGCCTGAGCCACCATTCCCTGTCCTCTGTCACCTCACCCCAGGGACAGAGCCCACGGGGGTGGCTGTGGGCTCCAGCTTTCTCCATGACCCTCCCAAAGCTCCAGCTCATCTCCAGCCTGGTCTTCTCTGACTTTTTGGTCCACCTGGCTTTGAGGTCTACCAGACTCCTGAGAAGGTTCAGGGATGCTCCTAGGGTTGTCCATAGGGTGTGACAGGCTGGGGACATCTCCCTCCATGCAGGGAAATGCTGGTGGATGTGGTGAGAGGACAAAGTTGGGGCTTGGATTGATTTATTATCTTTAAAAACAAAAACAATCCCAAAGCAAAACGCTGACTGACCCATTAACACAGGCAAGGAGGCTCTGGTGCCTCTTCCCCCTCTCCTGTTCCATCAAAGGCAGGAATATGGCCAGCCCTGAGTGAGTGAGGCAGGAAGCAGCCTGGGACTGCCCTCCTTTGCAGGGAGAGCAGCAGCTCGTTAGTGATTAATGAAGCTGCTTCATTAAGCCTTTTTGTTTTCCTAGGGAGGCATCAGCAGGGCCAATCCTGCTGTCCTTAGTCTGGGACATTTGGGAGCATTCCCGGGTGAGTAGCTGGAGTTTCTGATGGCAGGACATGGAAAGGGGGTGGGAGGGGAGGGCAGAAGCTGTAGGAGCACCTGCTCAGTGCCATCATCTTCTTGAGATGAAACAAACCATCACTCCTGAGGTGAGGGCTGCTCAGGAATCCTGTCCTGAGCTGGCTCTCCCTGTCTCTTATATCCTGTCCTCGTCCCAGGCAGCACTGTGCATGCTCTTCTCCATCCCTTGCTGCAGATGCTGGATCCTTTCCCTCTCCCTCTCGGAATTTTAATTAAAGCTTTTACCCACAGGAATTGAAGCCCCATTCAGCAGGAGCTGTGAGCTCAGTGCTTAAACCAAGGCATTTTTTTTAGGAAGAGCAGCCTCTAAAGATCTTGTGTTCCTCATGCAGCAGCCAATGGAGGTTATGGAATGGGAAAGACCCCCTGGAAAATCCATCAGTGGGTGATGCTTGTGTAGCTTTTACCAGCAAAAGTGAAGTCCTTGAACCTTTCAGGTGATGCTCTCCCAGCTGCTGGGAGTGGAGGGATCCACAGGGATCAAGTTCAGCTCCTGGCACTGCCCAGCATGCCCAAAAAATCCCCCCTGGCCCTGAGAGGATTGTCCAAATGCTCCTGGGCTGTGCCCATTCCCTGGGGAGCCTGTTCAGAGCAGGACAAGCCCTCCCTTGCTGCTGCCCCTGATGTCCCCAGGACAGAGGTGTCCCTCCTGGCCCCAAGGCACTGCTGTCCCATCACCCAGGACCCCCAGGTCCCTCCCCAGACTGTCCTGGATACGCTTTGCTGAAGTCTGCAGATTCCATCTCCTGGCTTTCCTGGATCATCCAGGTGGGTTGTGCTGTTGTAGCAGGAAATCAGGGTGGCCAGGCAGGACCTCCCTCTCCTGAAGCCGTGCTGGCTGTGACCCGTTCTGTGCTGTCCACCAGAGGATTTTCAGTACTTCCCAGAAGAATCTTCTCCAGGGTTTTACCAGGCACTGAAGTGAGACTGACAGCTCTGTGGTTTCCAGGGTTGTCCCTTGAAAACTGGGACCAGCTTCCAGCCAGCTGAGACCTCTCCAGAGTCCCAAGACTGCTCCAAAATCATCGAGAGAGGCTTTGTGACAACCCCACAGAAAGCTCCAGAGATTTCCAGAGTAAGGAAAATCTAAGAACCTAAGGAATGTGCTTGCTCAGAGATCCAGACTTTGATGGCTCCAATGTCACCTTGGGGATGTGGGGAGATGCTCTCTAAAGCAGATGAGAGAAAAACCAGCACAGGGATGACCAGGCTGCTCCAGGACAAAGGTCCACAAGGCAAAGATGGAAGTGTGGATATTCAGCCTCAGTGTTTGGCATGGAAGAAGGAGCTGGAGGAATGTTCCTGCAGGGAACCCTTTCCCAGCCCACAGCTGCCAGCAGGGTCTGGATTCAGCAGCCAGGGAGGCTGGGAAGGGGTTGAAATGCACAATTCCTGTGAAGGTGCAAGGTAGGGGATGGAGACAGCACAGCTCCAAGCAGCTCCCACCACTTCCTGTGGTCCAAGCACCTGAGAAAGCCTCAGCAGTGAGGTTGACTTTGTCTTCTGAGCCTTGGAGGGGAAAAAAAGCAGCAACTGAAGCTGGAGAAAGAGGAAAATCTATTCTCAAGACCAGGGGAAGTTTAATTTTGAGACAAGGGGTGAACTCCCTACATGGGGGGCAGTGAATCCAGCAGGCAGCACCTTTGGATTAACAACATGAAGACAATGCTATGGTTTATTTAAACATAAATGCAATCTCTTAAAACGAAACTAAAACCCCAGAGTGTAACCTCTGCCTCTGATGAAGAAGAAAGCATTGGGAAAAGCTGATTTTAAAAACAAAAGGCACTTAAAAATGGGCTCCAACTGAAAAGGATTTTGCACAAACCTCATGCCTGGAGCTGTTCAGAGTTCAGTGGCCACTTAAACAAATGCAGTGTAGAGAGCACAAGAGGACCAGAGCCATCCCTTCCTGTGCACAGACAATCCCTGTTCCCAGGAAGAGGGACAGGTGTTCCCTCTCCCCTTTTTTGGATGCTGTATTTCCTGGGCTGAGCTATCTACAAAGCCACTCCCCAAACCGGCTTTAAATCACATCTCCCACCCTCAGGGGAATGTGAAACAAGAAGAAAAAGGCCAATTTGGGACGTGTGGGAGGAAGGAAAACCAAAAGCTGGGAGATGCTGAGAACCAGGACTTGGTTGAGCCAGTTCAAAGAGCTCTGAAATCTACAGGGTGAGTTTTTGCCGTAGCTCGTTCTGGGTGCAAAGTGAGCCAAAAAGGTTAAAAAAGCCTCAGGAAAACCGCTTTCCTCCCCACCCCCAGTAAACTACACAGTAGTCCCTTAAGTGGCAACTTTTTCCCAGTCTTCCAAGCAAACCTTTCAGCGTGGAAAGGGGAGGACACAGACACTGCACCAGGGAAGCTGCGCGGGCCAAGCTTCGCTCGCCGCCCCGGCGACGTTCCAGCCGTCTCCGGAAGCTCAAGGTGGGAACATGCCCATGGAACACATGCAGGGCTGAAGGAATGGGGTGGGTGTGCAGAGGGGGAGCTCAGCTGGCTGGGAGGGATGGGTTATCCAAAGCAAAAGAAGAGCTTGGTGGTTGCTCTGCATCAAATGTCCCTCGTCGGATACGGTGGTGGGAATATCGAGGTGAAGGTGCCACGTGTAAGCACGGGCTCGGACATTCAGTAACTCGTCAAGCTCCCCAATTAATTTGCAAGCGTGTGCTGATGACAGGTTGCTGGTTGGCTGCTCAGTCTCAGAAAATACTTTCGGATTAACGGTGTAACTTAGAGCTCCATAAATAAAAAGGGGATATTTTTTTTTTTCCATGACTAAAAGTAACAATGTCTGGAAAGGCATTGATGTATTTGCTGAGTAAGGCCTTGAGCAGGTTTCTCCATGTTCTTAGCAAGACCATCCATGGAATCCATAAATAGGGGATGGGAGGGGGAATTCTTCAACGTGGTGAGTCTTGGACAGAAGTGGGAGATGTTCTCATTTTAGTCGCTCAACAAGTCCCTGCGTCAGTCCAAGGTGCAAAAGCTGGGATCTGGAGAGGGTTGCTAGGTGAGGGAAAGATTCCAGGAGCTTCTCCCAGCACAGTTCCAGCAGGCCGGGCACCACCAGCCACATTTTGAACAGGGAGCCAGTCCGTTTGTTTTGGTGGATGTTGACCACCCCTCCGTGGACATACATGCAGCCAGCCTGGGTGGGGAAAGGGGACAGGAGTTACAGAGCCAGGAAAAGCAGGATTGGGCTGTCCCCACTCCCACCTCACACCCTTCAGCAGAGGTGGCACTGCCTCAGCCCCTCACTCAGGGATCCTCTCACTCAAGGGAGGAATCGCTGCTGGAAGGGCCATGTCTCATCCTAAGCCACATATCCACCACCTCAGAGTGCTTTGCTCTGAGTTTTAAGTGATTTCTATCTCAAGAAATCCATTTTAGGAGTGTGGCAAACTGTTAATAAAGTAGTACAGAGCCATACTCATGTTTCAGCTAAAAAGAATGTATTTTTAAACTACACCCACCTCAGACATCCTGCATTCCCTTGGCTCAGCACAATCCTGCTCCAGGGATGACAGGAACACAGAGAGATGGGAAAAATTCAGCTGCTGAGTGGGTTTTTTTCCCACACAGGCTGGCAAAGAAAGGGCATTCAGCTGTCCAGGCAGTCACTGAGCTGCCTGGGAAACACCTTTATCAGGCTTCCCAGGAAAAGCTGCATTTATAACATTCCCCAAATGAAGTGACACCGAGGAATGCGATCTCTGCCCTAAGGAGATGAGAAGGTGAAGGCACAGCCAAAGGCATTTCTTGCTGCCTGTTAATGACCAATCCCAGGTCTCCTGCCTTCTACTTATGGCCAAAAGCTCTGGCAATACCAACATTCCTTAGTGGTTTCCAAACTGGCTGGAAACAGCCTTACCCAATCTTCCACCTCGGGCTGTTCTCAGTAGGCTAAAATCACTTTTCTCAGGGAGTATTTGTGCTTTTTTTGTTGTTTTTCCCTTTTACAAGCAGAAACTGCTGCTCCCATGCGGATTTTAAAAGCTCAAATTCTGCATAATTTCTTTCAGAAAACAAAATCCACAGTGTGGCTCCACTCTTCAAACAGCAGCAGGAAGAAGAGCCTCCCAAAAGCTGCTGCAGCCAGCGGAGGTCACTTCCTTGGGAACATCAGCTCTATTTGCAGCCCAATCCGAGGTAAGAGTGCTTGGAGGAAGGAGCCCAGCTCCAGAGGAACAAAAGGAGTCACTTACTGGGGTGACAGCAGCACAGTGGAAGTACACAGGCTCTGGCATGGCAGCTGGGAGCTTGACCCACTGGAAAGTTTGGAGGTTCAGCTTCCAAACGTCTCCCAGAATCACCTCTCC